TTTTTTTTTTTTTTGGCTGTGCCACGTGGCATGTGGGATCTTAGTTCCCTAACCGGGGCTTGAACCCGCGTCCCCTGCATTGGAAGCGCGGAGTCTTAATCACCGGACCTCCAGGAAAGTCCCTGCATCCCCCCTGTTTTGAAGGGGTGCAGCCGAAAGAGCAAACTCCACCTCCATCACTCGTCAGCTGTGTGTCCCCTGGTTACACTTACTGCATCTCATTTTCTCGTTTGTAAACCGGTGATGATTGTTTCCCGAGCCTGCTGGGAACAGTAAACAGCACCAGCACATGGCCCAGCCCGTGGCTCTATTTATCACATCATCCCTAACTGCTCCCGTTTCTAGTGCATTTCCTACGTGCTGGACAAGTCCTCAGTCACTTCATCCCCACGGGCCACCAGGAGGCGGCTCCAAGATTCTGCTACTGTAACAGGGTCAGTGCCAGCCTCTGACGTCAGGATAAGTGAGTTAGTGCTTAAAGGGTGTCGCACACAACAGGCGCTCAGTAAGTATTAGCTGAGCACGTGCACTGGGTCCCTGCATCAGGGCCGCACAGGAACTGGGCCACAGTGTCCCCTTCGGTCCACGAGCACATGGAGGCAGCTGGGTCTGGCCTGCCTGGAGTCTCTATCGGCCGAGGGGCTGCTGTGTGACTCCAACGAAAACTGTGGCCGCCCCTGATAACGCCACATTGGGAAGCTTGCACCAGCCCCTCCTGCCCAGTGCCTCCTCCCACACAGGGCTACCCGGTGTTGCTCCAGGGACCCAGCAATGCGCCAGAGCTCCTCCCCTCAGGGACAGTGGGGACTGGCCCTCTGGAGCCCCGGGTACTCACGGCAGAACCTGAGGAAGTCTGATTGCAGCTCCTTGCGTGCGTTCAGGAACATCCTCCCCTTCTCGGTGCCGACCACGAAGGCGCTCTCATCATGCACAGCGACGCAGGCCACTTCTGCGTTCAGCTTGGAGAGCGCTGAGCACTGCCGGGGGAGCAGGGATGTGAGCCGGGGGAAGGACCCCCCCACTCTGGACACCCCCAGTGCCAGCTTTGGGGGGTGGGAGGTGAGCTCTCAGCTGCCCGAGATCCCACCAGCAGCTCCAGGGAGAGGTCACCGTCCCAGCGTTTTGGGTCTTAGGCTGCAGTGGGAATGAACGAATGACACCCACAGAGCTTGGCCAAGGTCAGGGAAAGAAGACAAGGTTACAGGGGCTGGAGGAGGACGTGGCCTGTGCCCCTTCCTCCCCCCAGGCCCTCCTTGCTCTGGGGTGGGCTTCCTGCCTCGGGCCTGGCCCCAGCCTCAGGGATGATCCTGTCCTGGGCTCTCTCCAAGTCCTGGGTGAGGAGGTGGGAGGGGTCCCAGGAGAACCAAGGCACACACAGATCCAGGCTTCAGTCCTGCATCAGCCTCTTCCTGCAAGTCACACCCTTCTCTGGGCCCCAATTTCCAAATGTGTAGAATGCGGACAAGCAGCCCAGCTCCCAGAGTTGTAATGGGCTTGTTGTGGGGATTCAATGGGGCCCGGTTGGTGGGAAAAGGTCTCTAAACCGGGGCATCCCGTGTGGGTATGAGGCAAAGAGGTTCTTTTTGCAGCCCCAGAGTTGAGATTGGCAGGCCGCCTGCACAGGAAGCCCTAACACAGGGGGCCCTGCAACCAAGACCACCAGCTTCTCAGGCCTAATTCACTGGGAAAACCCTGCCTGCAAAGCTCGTGGCATACGGTCGGTGCCTGATAAATGCTGGTTTTCATCTGACTTAGTGCTCTGCGGACAGTCAGGTGGTCTGGCTTCTAATCGCAGTTCCACTGCTGTGTGATCTAGGACAGGCTCTACAACCTCTCTGGGCCGTGATCATGCCTTTAGTGCCAGCTCCGGCTTGGAGTCGCTCCGGTGAGGGAGCTGGGGACATCTCAGGGCCAGCAGGACTGTCCCCCGGGAGCTCCTGGGGGCAGGGATGGTGTTCATTTCCGGCTCTCTAAGATGAAAACCAAACCCCACTGCTCCCTTGCCCTGTGGCAACACTGTATATAACAAAGACGACAAACGGATTCAACCGTTTCCGAGGAGTGGCCAGTAGAGCTGGAGGAAAGCCTTCCCTGCGCTGCATGGTCACTCCTCAGCTGAAGACGGTGAGGCCGTGGCAGGGAGTAGACTCATCCAAAGGCACAGAGAATGGGGGTCGGGAGGAAATGCCTGGAAAAGGGTCTGAGACTGGGCGGGAGGAGGTGATGAACGGACAGCACTTTGGCCCCAATCTTCCCGCAGACCGCCTGAGAACCTGGCCCCAGGCCCGCTGGGTGCCGGCGTTAAGTCACTGCCAAGTGAGTGCCGCTGTCACCCACGAGGTCCCTTAGGAAACCTGTAAAGGCCTTGTCGCATGGCGGGGGGGAGCCTGTCTTGCTCATGCCACCAGGACAGCTACAGGGTTACTGGCTCCTCCAAGGAGCCTCTGAAAGACCCTCTAGACCAGCACTGGGCCCTGCAATTTCTGCAATGATGAAAATGTTCTATTTCTACACTGATACCACAGCCACCAGCCACATGTGGCCACTGAACTCTTGAAATGAAGCTAGTGTGATGGAGTAACTGAATTGTTTAATTTTCACAAATTACAATTTAAACATCAACTGTCACATGTGGCTAGTGGCTGTGGCATTGGCCGTCGCTGCCTGTGTCAACTGTACGTCCACCACCACACCAAGCTGACACTGCTACCGGCATAGGGCTGAGCTCCTGGGGCCCCCCTCCTCATGAAGGCCATTCTGTACAGGGGAGGGGTCAAACCCAGCTGGCCTTCCCAGGGGTGTCTACCACCTCTGCCCCAAATACCACCTAAGCGGCCCTTGAGCTGCCTGCAGCTGGAATAGCCTGGAGGGAGGCCCTTTGTCCTTGGGAAACTGTAGACTTTGCCCCTGGGAGCCCACTTTAAAAACTGATCATGCTGTGTGACATCAGGCAAAGTACTGCCCTCTCTGAAGTTCAACTTCACTGAACCAAAATGCAGGGGGTGCAGCTAACTGATGCCAGGCAGATTTTTTTTTTTTTTTTTTTAAAGACACCTGCCTACCCTCTGTCACAGAACTTGCCCCAGGAAAAGTCTACAGGAAAATGACATTATTATTTTCTCTCTCCCTCTCTCTCTCTTTTTTTTTTTTTGGGCTGAGCCGTGCAGCTTGCGGGATCTTAGTTCCCCTACTGGGGATCAAACCCGGGCCCTTGGCAGTGAAAGCTCTGAGTCCTAACCGCTAGACCGCCAGGGAATTCCCTATTATTTTCTCATTTGGGATAAACTGCTATAGGTTTAGGTATGGAGGCAAGGGTGTCAGAGGAGTGATGCAGTTACAGCCCTGGCTTTAACAACGGGGGGGACAGCTTTCTAATGAATCACTGTGACACATTACCCTCCAGGTGACCTGCTGGGAGGGAGACTTGTGACCATCCCAGGGATGGGACTTCAACTGTAAGAGGTGACGAAACGAAGACGGGGTGAGGGGACGAGGGGCCGAGGGCTGGAGTTCCACACACTTGACCTCACTTAAGCCTCCCACCCCTGGCGTCGGCAGACAGGCCTTGTAGCAGACGGGGACGCTGAGGCTCAGGTCGGCGAGGGCCCCTGGGAGCAGCAGAGGTTATAAAGGCTGGCTGCCCCACTCCTCCAGGGGTGGGCAGGGGTACTCACCATGGAATCTAAGGCAGACACGAGGCTGGTGATGATCTCGTCTTTGCGGGCGATGGCAGAGTTCCAGCGGTCAGGCCCACAGCCGTTTGTGGGGACGTCGCAGCGCTTTCCCAGCAAGGCCATGGTCGCCTGGATGGAGGAAGGGAAGAGGCGGAGGTGGCCGTGGGCCATAGGGCGTGGCACACGTGGTGGCTGCCCCCACCACTAACCCACCAGGCCCCCCGGGATCCCCAAGGCCACCTCTATGTCCCAGGTGGGACAAATCAAGAGCTGGCCTTTTCTTCACCTAAGGGTCTTATATGCATGATGGGGTTTGAGTTTTGACAGGCCTGGACACACAGTAGCCTGCACACGGCCTGTACAGGTGTGGGAACAGACAGCAGGATAACGGAGGGGGGTGCCTCAGGGCACGTCTCCCCAAGTCTGCACCCCCAGAGCCAAAGCCACAAGGAGTCTGCCTGGCAGGCCCTAAATGCCAACTCTCCCCACGCACACCCCTCTGGCCATGGCCCTCCCTTGCTCACACACCCTCCATAGCTCCCTGCTGCCCACATTAGCTCTTGACTCCTCAGCTTGGTATTCAAGGGTCTAGACTCTTGTCCCTTGCCTCAACTCTTCCTTATACCCCATGCTCTAGGCACTCTAAGTGTCACCATCCTCCAAACATACGGACATCCTTCACGGCTCCTCAGCTGTCACCAGTGCTGTTCTCCCTGAGTGCCCTCCCTGGCCCCTTTGGCATCTACTGACTGCCCCTTAGCTTTTTTTTTTTTTTTTTTTTTT